ATATTTTTTGGCGTCAGATTAGCAAATGAGGCACCAATGTGACTTTTAAAAATTCCAAATCAGATGAATGAGAATTGCATTATGGGTAACTATAAATTATAAATAAATACAACAGGAATTTTACGCTTGATAACTTTTTGTACTATCGGTGAATACAATTGTCCCTGGCCAACACACGTGATCACGAATATAATTATGTAAAAAGGTTTCTTTCCATTTAAATGCATACGAGAAGCTGCTCGTTTTCCTTACCCTCAAGTAGGACCTTGCCTTCAGTACAGCAGCCTGACCCTTTGTCTTCTACTGCGCAACCCTTTACGAAATTCCTGGATCCGCCATTGCCAGTTTTATTGTGAACTATGATAAGATGTATTAATTGTTATTTACCCCCTCCCCCCTAAGCCACCCAGTTCTGTTGAAAATCATGAAAGTCTTTCAGAAAGGTGTGGCAAGCTAAGGTAACACATTGTTAACAGGACATGTTTTCAGAAGAAACAGACCATAGCAATTTCCTGTTTACTGCCTGTTTTATATATAAAACATGCTCTACCCTTTGAATCTTGAATTTAAATTTCAATAACATTAGTAGGGTTGACTGTGATTGTGAGTTTCTTATATCATCCACAGCTAATTTCCCAATTACTAAGTAATTCAACGATAGAGAAAACCAGAGGTTCGTGCATATATTGGAAATTTACTGTAGCAAAATAATAACTCGTGAAAAGTGGCAACGCTCAAGGTTTACCTACAACTTAGTACCAGCTATCCTTTTGGCTTATCTGAATGCTCCTTCGCATAAATAATTATTGTGATATAATTTTCCATAGCTTTTGAAGAATATTTTAATTTGCAAAGAGATAGAGTAGGATAATGGTATTGTTTATCAGCAATACTAAATTTCAGTTTATGGTTTGTTTACTACGTCCGGTTATGCTATCATGGGCATTTTCAAAGATTTTTATATGCATGAAACAGCTGGATTTTTTGGCAATTATATAACTCTCCAATGTATCAAAAAAAAAACAAGATCTGTATAAAAATTAAGTATATTATATTTTAAGTAACAGGACTCTTACTCTGACTAATAAAATGAACAAAAAGTCTTCACTCTCACTTGTTTTTGTGCGGATTTTATTTTATTTCAACTACAACTTACTTCTGCTTTTGACTTTTGACCCCTAAAAGGAATATAAGTTACAAAGACATTTCAAATTTTGATTTTTTTTTCATGCGCTAAAATTTTCAAATATGTTGAGTTATGGTTGGGTTACAACTGCGCTGGCGCCATTTTAGATTTTACGAGAAAATATGGGGCTCCCTAAACTTAACTTCTCTTAAAGCTTGAGCCTTTATAGATCCTACTTTGGTGAAAACACCTGATTAATTTATGCCATCAAATTTTGTAACAAGATTGCCTATTCTTCTTTGATTGTTTAATTTGTCTTTTTTTCACAGTTAGAACTTTTTAACACAATTTTTCGAACGAGATTTGATAAAAACATGCTACGTTTGACACTCACTTACACCTATTAAGAACTACAAGATCTCCAAAAAACATCATATGATAGATTGTAGCCTATGTTAACATTCTACCAACTGGCATTTGTCTTTTGTAATGTCTTTTTTAAGGTCTGTATTCTAAACATTTGGAATTCAGACGCCATTGTCGGAGTAATCACTTCATAAAAATTACAAAGTGATTTCATAATATGTGTATTTTTTGTCTTATATCATTGGTATTTTAAATGATATCAAACTCAGTAATATCCATGAAACGGTTATTTTTTTTATTTAACAGATCTCAGAACTTTAGAAATGTCCCTCGTATATTTCCTACCGTTGCTTATTATGTTACAAAAAACATCTCTCATCTGAAGTCTCAACTAGAAGTATATGTATCTATACGTACTCTCCAAATTGTTAAATGCAATTTAAAGACAGATTTTGTACTGTATTACATAAATTGACCTAATCACAGTTTTTTTTTAAAAAAACTGTTTTCTTCGGCTTTTATCTTTTTTTAAATTCGCCCACCTGTAATTAGAGCGAAAAGAAAACCAGAATGGTCCAAGGAACGCATGTGCTACTACATGTAGCATATACGGTATCTCATGCAAAAATCTAGCATGATAGTTCATAAATGCACAAAAAATCAACACATAGTATGAGACCGATAAGTTCTGTTATACAGGATTCAGAGTCTTTACATCAATTGTCACGCTACACGATCCATTGTTAGCTCCCGATCCTGATGTATTTTATGATATTGAAATATCAATTTGTGTGATAACCGTTTCAAAAAAACAATATTACGAGCTCATAAACATGTCCAAATGTTATTTAATCATCAACATCCGCCACTCAAAAGTCAAAAGTCTTAAACTGAATTAAATTGCCGGGTTATTCTTTGTAAAGTAGATCAATTTCAAGTGAATTGTTACGCTGGTATTTTTCATTATGCTTAATTAGTGCACATGCTAAATAACACATAATTACCCCTTAAATGTCAAAACTTTTCTGTATATTGGCACTTTTAACTTTTTAGTAAAGTAGATCAAAGGACAAGGTCAAAGTTCATGAGGTTGGTAAAATGACAATTTACAAATGCCATAGTGCCAAGCAATAACTCAGTTCATATATCTCACAGTTCTTAAGATATATCGTGTGACAGACGAACGGACAGACAGACAGATGGACAGACAGAAGCCGGGTAAAGTGATCCCTTGGTGCCGATCTGCTCTTCAGGCGACACAACGGGGGCTAAAACTCATACAGTATTTTAACCAAGCAAAATCTTAAAATGTTTGTATGTGATTAATTTCAGCTCTCCCCACATCATAGACACGCTACAACTCACCACCGTCAAAACTTGTTGTATGATGTTTAATCTTAGCAACTTCCACAACATGGGTTCAGGATACAGCACCCAGAGTTCTCAATATCAAGGGGATGGATGTAAATGGGATCTGCGTCCAGCTTGTAAAGTACGACAATGTTCTCTATGTCAGAGGGACACTGAATTCTACTGTAACACGTGTAAACTTGACTTGTGTCAACGGTGTAAAAGGAGACATGTTACAAAGTCAGAAACTAAATACCATAAAGTGGTGCTATATCGAACACACCATAACAAAAAAGGTTTTACTATACAATGTAAAGAACGGCAGTGTTGCCAGTGTAAGGGTGACACAGAATTCTATTGTAAAACGTGTAAACATGACCTCTGTCTTAAGTGTAAAGAGAGACATGTTATTGATCTAGATGCTATTTATCATTCCGTTGTGATTTACAGAGAAAAATATGAATACATTCCAAAACAAGAAACCTGTGTGAGGCATCCATATAAAATTTATGAAATGTTCTGTCACTCCTGTGAAGTTCCTGTCTGTTCCCATTGTAAAGAACACATAGAACACAAAATATATGTAACGGACATCAGAAAAACATGTCAAGAAAAATGTCATCAACACAGAAAAATCCTTAACAACATCAGAAGTAAGGATTTATTGTACAGCTGTATTCTTCTGAAAGATATCAAAAATGATATGAAAAATCTTAACATAAAAATATTCAACCTTCAATCAGAGATGTCAAGAAAAGCCCAGAAACTGAAAGATTTCATTGACGCTGCAATATTTGAATTCGGATTTACAATTTATAAGATACAAAAGCAGAAGAAAAAAATGAATCGAAAACATACCATAATTGAAAAATATGAACAGACATGTGAACTGCCATCAAAAAGACCGGTACAATTCCTTCTATATCGAAGGAATACGCGTGTCGCCAAGATAAAGGACACTCTTAATTTTACAAATTACTTTCTGTCCTCTCTTACTGAGAAAATTAACCTGGGGCAAGTGATTAAGCTGTTGAGTGAAATCAAACATTTAGAGACAGGAAAAAGACAAGTAAGATACAGGGTGTTTCATAATATATGTTACATTTTGAATCTTCAATTTTGACAAACAAAAGAAAAAGATACAGATAAGTCTTTTTATCAAAGTGATGTACATATCCATAAGATTCATAATGCACAATTACCAACGAAAATATTAAACACTGAACAAACTCTTAAACATTAATGAAAATTATCAAAATTTCCAAGTTGCGCCATTTTTGAATTTCACAACGTCAAAAGTTCACATTACATGTTCCAAATGATCTCCATTCATTCAACAACTAATGAAGTTGCTTCTTGAAATTTGTATAAAACCGTGTCACATGTCACATATTTTTGCTTAGACACTCCTTTGAAGGTTCATGTTCTTTTTAAGCTCATTCAATATCTGGGGTCTAGGAATGTAGACCTGTTCCTTAAGAACCCCTCTGAAAAAAGCCAAAAAATTGAGATTGTCAAATGCAGAGGTCAAACTCTTTCCTTGCATTAGTTATTGAAAATTTGTATACTGATTACTTCAAACCATATTTAAAAGTTCATAATCTGCTGAAAATGCTGATATTGCCAGAATAAATTTCTGAAAATATCTATCTGACATTTTTCTCATAAGTTTGTTACAATACGAAACGAGACTTCACCAATAAAATCTCCGCTTCTTAAAGTCTTTTGGCTTTCTGGAATACTAGCTGTATCAATTATAGCATATTGTCCGTCCCTGTCCTTTAACCTTGGTACTACCCTTCTGATAAGCATCCTAGAAAACTTCTATTTTTTGGAAAATTTATTTCATGAACTTGTGAATGAATAAATTGAATATTGGCGACATGATTAAAAAAACACAGCTTTACAATTCAGCACTGAGTGAATAATTCAAGTCCATTTTGAGAAATATTCAAATTATGACATCGGCGTTTATAGGTCAAATAATCATTGCAAGAAAATGATCTCCTTGACTTTTTCACATGGAACAAAAATGCAGGATTCGATATTTAAAATGATATAAAGTTTGTAATAGAAATATTATATGTAAGAAAAATAATTAGATTTCAAAATGTAACATATATTATGAAACACCCTGTATGACTATTTTCCTAAACTGATGTATTACCCCAAGTTACACAAATCTATGACAGTCAACATAGTGAAAGGCTTTAGAGGTGTATGGCAGATTTCCTGTGTACCATCAGGCGGATTGTGGATCAGTGATGGCAACAATCTCACATCTATCATGACAAACGCATATTCCGGATTTCAAGATCGTACAGATATAGGTTTGGTAAGTTATGGAATACATACAGTGAAAACTACGTGTTCTCTTATTTATATAGACAGGGAATTTAACATTAACCAACTATCAACAGATATTAGAAAGAAGTATACATTGATAGAAAGAAACAAACCATGGATACCACTGTGTGTCTACAGTTCTCGTTTCAATGGAGATATTCTGGTTGGGATGTTGAATACTACGACATGGGCAGGCCGGGTTATGCGGTATGATACTACAGGACAGTATATAATGACAATACAACACAACGGAACGGGTCAGGATCTGTATAATCTGCCTAGCTACATCACAGAGAACCGCAATGGAGATGTAATCGTGTCTGACCTCACTGATATTGATATTAATGATTATGGCTGTGGTGCGGTAGTGGTCACAGATCTTAAAGGAAGACATAGATTTTCCTATAAAGGATATCCCTCATCAGGGTCAGAACTATGGCCACGTGGAATATGTACAGATGCGCTGTCATGCATCCTTGTGTGTGATTCGAGGACCAACACTATCCATATTATTGACAAAGATGGTAACTTCGTATGGCAGATGGAGACACAAAATTTTGGGATAGACGTACCAATTGGCCTGAGTTATGATAACAAATCTCAGTTACTTTGGGTTGGATCATTAAACAATAAGGTGTGTGCAATCAAATGAAAACAGAAAGGACTATATGACAATTTTGTTTATTGAAACACATGTATATATGGGACCCCTAGACTGTCTTATCACGGCGGAGCTAAATAATTAATGTGAATATATATGAAATTTTTTAATTTTAATAATACTCTTTAAAAAATAGAATCTGAAATTAAAAATATTTAAATCGCTGATTTATATCTTTAAAAATTTAATTTTGGTCAATGTATTTAATTTTGTAATAAAACTTTTTAAAAATTGTAGAGAACTGTCATATTTTAATTTTTTTGTATCATGCATATTTGTTTGTACAAAGACCGATAACTCTTCACCCTTGGGTAATAACATTCAGAAAGAGAAAATTTCTTTAACTAGTATATCTTCAAGAACGATTTCAGCTTTTAAGAATAAGTAGAAAAAGCTAAAAAAAAAATCATAGAAAGCATTCTGGAGTTATAAGCATTCTCATTTTTCATCATACATGTAGTGTTAAATTATTGAGGGTTTCAATAAAGCTGACGATGACGTCACTACTGCATCAAAACAAAAATTAAGAGAATGTGATGACGGTGCTGCTTGTATCCAGATAACTGTGTTAAAGAGGGAAATTCTTTATAAATAGCTTGTGATTTATTAGAAAAAAGGAGCACTGATCAGGTGTATTGATGTTAAAGCCGTATGTTTTTCTTCACTGAAGACAAGAAGCTGCGTCCTTATGTAAGTCAGGATTTCCTCTGATAATCTTGAAAAAAATCTAAGAATGCAAATATAAGTAATAAACAACGATATTCAGTGAACATGGCATTATGAATAGCAATAGCTCTGCTGGCATATTTTCCATGATGCACTAGCGCGCATCATATGGAATATGCCAGCAGAGCAATTGTTATTCATAAAGCCATGTTCACTGAATAACGTTGTTTATTTCTTAAATGATGTGCTTTTCTCATTATGTGGTGAGGATTTCGTTATATGATATCTAAGACAGTTTTATTGATTCCTTATCAGTTATCTTGTGTTTACTTTGTCCCATAGAAAATATTGCACTTACATTTGGACACATAAGTTGGAAGATGGCTATACATTTAGATCAGTACTTGGAACATGGGGCTATTAAGTAGCGATCTTTCAGTCCTGTTTTCCCAGGATCTCAGTTGGAAATTGGAAACCATGATGTAGAGATAAATTTGCGATATTGGCTCAAGCAGTTGTTTTCGTTTGAAAACTTTAGTAAGTTTTATCAAATTACTTTCAAAAGCAGTTTCTCTAATATTCAATTAGGTTAAACATTTAGAGCATTTATTTAGAGTGCTATTAATTGACAATGTAATATCTTTTGTTTGCTCGGTTTATATTAAAGTTAAACTTAATTACCCTTATACATGATTAATGATATGATTAATGTTTAATTGTTCAGTACAAATGAAATATTTTTAATAGATCAATTGACTTGATTTCGAAATGTAAAAAGGCTTATGATACCAATTTCGAAATAGTTTTTACAAGTTTAAAATATTTTCAAATGCTGGATCTAGTTTAAGGTCAGACGACACATTCATGGTACCTGATCCCACCTCTGATGTTTTGGAGGTCCGTGTTTGCTCTGCTCTTATTTTGTATTGTTTTATGGACTTTGAGATTGAATACTGTTCGTTATCTCAATATCCTTTATTCATCAAATATTTGTTTTGAATCTCTAGATAATACATAAAAAATGTTCATAACTGTCATTCTCATGTGATTTTTACATTTACACTATTTTCAATGGGAAAAAAATAGGAGATAACGAACAGTATTCAAGATCAAAAGTCCATAAAACAATACAAAACAGGAGCAGAGCAAACACGCACCTCAAAAACATCAGAGTTGGGATCAGGTGCCAATGAGGAATGAGCATCCCCTGCCAACCGATCACACCCGCCGTGTGCTCATTGTCATGACCGAGAAATAACAGAAAAATCCGTCGTCAATTAAGTGTATAAATAATGGACTAACAATTAGTATGAAAAACATCAGTCAGCATTTGACTCAATGATAAATTGTATTTGCTGACAACGTCAATGTATCGACCACAGAACTTACACAATGATGACTTGAAACGAGACTGCTGATATTCTTGTTTCATCAGCTTGCTTGAGGAATAAAGAAAGAGGCTTGGTTTAACATTTACTGGAATCCGCTATGTATCTTTCTTTTTAAGGATTTTGAAGTTTCGGAATCCAATTTACATATGGTAGTTCAAAATCAATTTTGTTCTTTGGGATATTAAAAAATATTTCAAACTGACATATGATTTTAAAGAGTTTCCTTCTTAGAAAGGGAACCATGAGTATAAGTTGGATTATTACTTGTAGAAATAAATCCAAGTTTTTTTTAAAATACAATCGATATAATGAGCCTTACAAACAAAGGAAATGTTGTTACATGATTTGCCACAGGGACCAGTACGTATCGATAATGTAATATATCTAGTTTTTTTTTCTTTTCTGGATTATTGAATACAGAAGGATAGATGTTTTCAAATTGCCCCTTAATCTTTTAATTCGCGATTTTACCATGGATCTGATACATTTAATCTATTCTGACAAAGTGGCAACGTCTTCTTTTTCATATCTGGCCCAACCCTAACATAAAATTACTATAGTAAACTATAGTTACTATACTTTACTACAATAAATCAAAGTTCCAAAGTTAATACCATAGTTAATCAAAGTTCCAAAGTTAATACCATAGTAAATCAAAGTTCCAAAGTTTTCACTATAGTAAATCTAAATTTCAAAGTTTTCACCATTTTAAATCAAAGTTCCAAAGTTTTCACTATAAAAAATCTAATTTTCTAAGTTTTAACTTTGGTACTATAGTTAACTATAGGAAACTATAGTTTGATATTTGGTGTTTGATCAATAATAAAGAACTATATTTAGAAAAATGAAATTGGAGCATTATTAAACTTATATTTGGAATCGCTTTCTAAGGCTTCTTATATAAAAATATCTAGTTCGAATTGTTTACATCTAACCTCTGGGAAGTCCTTTGGAGTCAAGTTGTTGTCCTACCTGCATAAGGTCACAGTTAGTTCACATTACATTTGTATACCAATGGGGTCCTTATACCCAAACATTTAAATTGATGTTACATAAAATGAACAGAAAAATATAAATACTAAAGCTAAGATTTTGGATCAAGTTGACAACACACAGAGCCTTAAAAATGAATTGTAGTATGTATATATACCAAATCTTCACATGGTTTAATCTAGACAACTAATAATAAGAAAGAAAAAAACTAACTAGATGCTGTCATTAGACAGTAATAACCGCACTAAGGTGCTTGCCTCTAAATGCAAACTCCTTCAAATTAATATGATTCAATAATTTATATAATACATGTATTCATCAAATCGAGCATATTATGTGACCATGTGACCCATGAGCCTCTTATAGGTATTTCATATTCTTAATTAATTACCAGTCTGAAATTAAACAACAGAATATAAATAATGATGTAAATTAGGTTTGATAAAGGGGGGATATAAATTTTTGACCAATAATTGGAACTTTTAATATCTATTTTCTCATATAAACCAACAACAAATAATATTATTCAAATAAGAGTAAAGCGTTTCTGATGAATTTTTCAAAATGTGCAAACTTTAGGCAGAAACTCCTCGAAAGCTGCCATATACCCGATCAATCTAGTCAACCACCACCCCTCTCCCATCAACACACACACAAACACACCCTTTTTGCTTGTTTTTGGAAATAGGCCTAGATGGCAAAGTTAAGGTAAAACATCTTTTGTAAAATGATAATTTTAAATTTGTTCTTGTACTATACGTGTATCTGAACACCTGCATCACAGTGGGCGTGCGTCACGTACCCAACTTAGTACTAGTTTAACCATTATCGTTTTTAGATTGCACTGCACGTGCAGTGTGGTGTACACATCATTGCATGTATATGTGAAGGAATTATTTCATTTTGTGTTTTAATTGGATTATATTTCATTAAGTTGAAAAGACCTATCACAATCGGTAAGTACAAGTTTTAGTATAGATTTGTGTAAAATAGTCTGAAATGCAAATGATTAGGTTAAAGTTTAAAGAATCAAAGGTCATTGGATGCTACAATAGACGAATTTCACATTCAGAAGAGTTATCCCCCGTTGTTGATGCTACATTCAGTTACAAAGTCCAGAATTTTTCTAGGAGGGAGAGGGGATTTCCAGACCAGAATTTCCTGAGAAGGAAAAAAAAGTTATGGTGGGGTCTGTTTTCTAGGGTGGAGGGCATCCAAAGTCATTTTTATCTGCTTCAGTATATATTATCGTCCTGCAAATTCCGGGGGGGGGGGCCTCCCTATCCACTCCCTGTCCCTGTAATGACAAATGATCACGTGACTCCTAAATGGTAGAAAACTTTTTCCATTGACTATACATAATTTTGTTTCTTGTGTTATTATGTTATGTAAATTTAATGGTTTAAAGGTAATGAATCCCTGGAGGTCATCCCCACTCTTCTAATGAATTGCATTAAATCAAATAAAAGTGCATCAATGATATTAGATAAGATTGCTTGGCATTTTATTCATGATATTTTGTCAACCTATCCTCCTAGAATTAGGGATGAAAATCATTCAAAGAGACGGAACCACATTAAACTATTTGTATATATTAATTTTTTTAAATGTAAAAACAAGTAGTATAGTTTGCATGTATGAACAAACAGGGGTCTGAGAAGGGGCGAGGGAAAGGATCGAGTTGATATCTCTTTACGTCTTAATGGTTGAAACTCCTAAAATAAATTTTGACCTCAAATCTGCCTTGTCCTCATTATTTTTCAAGTGATGGTGTCTCCATATGAGTGAAAAATTCCTGAGAGAGATGTTTAACAACAAACAAACAAACAAACAAATGACATAAAAAACACAATATTGATTTGCGTTTAAAGATAATCAGGGGATTTTTTCCATCATAAATCTTCTTCTCAAGAACAGAAGAGGCATTATTTTTCCCCGTTT